TAAAGGAAATAGTATTTGTAATACACTTTAATACAATTAACGAAGGAGCTAATTAGTTTGGGTGGATTTCGTTTCGAAAAGGGCATATATGTGCCAACTGTGTAACTCTAAGGGCATATATGGACCAACTATGTGACGGTAAGGGCATATTTGAGCTAAAGTATTAACGAATGGCAAATGTGCTCAATTTCGTATAGTACAAGGACATATTTGGACCTTTGCCCTTTTAATTATAATTTGAGAGTTTTTGGGGGTTTACCCCCAAAAATCAAAACTCGCCCAATGCCTAAACGTACTTTGGGACTTGTGCTTCGTGATACTTTCGCTCCCCCCAAATTGCCCCAGTGTTTTTTTTTATATCCCGTCCCGAGGTTCGTCTCGGTGCTCGTCCAAAAACGCCTTTTAAAATTATGATTATGTTAGTCAACATTTATGAGGACACCTACCCATATTTTTCTTTAATTTGCCGAAGGATATTTATATATTATCATTAACGAAAACACAACAAATGGAAATCACAAATCTATCTCTATATATAGTAGTAATGCACATGCATGGAATTAGATAAAGGCCAGATAAACCACAAGCGTCAGGTTTGATATTTAGTCACTGTGTTTTGTTTTGCTGCTGCACTTGACATTTTCCCTTATGCCATAAATTGCTCAGTTAAGGTTAAGAATAATGTTAAAGTATTACTTATTATTTATTTATTAGAAGACGGAAAAGATTAGAAAAATGCAACAAATAGAAGAAATGGTGTAACTTTAGGGGTCGTTTGGTAAGATGCATTAGAGAAAACAATGCATGCATTAACTTATTGGTATTATCAATCCCTTGTTTGGTACATTTTTTCAACCTATGTATCACTAATGCAAATATTAGTTATACAACCTATTTGGTATTATCTTATGTATAACTAATACATAGCAAATCATGGTATTAGCAATACTGAGGTTATCAATGCATGCATTAGCATGGTTAAAGACAAAATTGCCCGTAAAGTCCCTTCAAGCTAAAGAATATGGAGGACATTTTTATAAACAACTAATTTTCTTAAAAGTTATGCAATGCACACCAAAGAGTGGATAAGAAATAATCTCTGCGTAGCTAATGCTTGCATTAGTAACCCATACATTACTAATCTTTGCATTGCTAATACACCTTATTCACCACTATTCTTATACACCTTACCAAACGACCCCTTATAGAATTGATACATGTACTTTGGTTGAGTTTGTCATTGTCCTCTCCTATCAGTATTCCCTGTGTGGTTTATCACCTAAGGCATGTTACAAGATAGGAGTTATTTTTCAAAAAAACTTAATATCACCATTATGGTGAGAGAGATTAGGCATAGCGTCAACCTGTATAAAAAAGAAATCTTACATAAATGTCCTAAAATAATTCCAACTTACCAACCTCTAGCCATTAATTATAGACTTACCAAAACTAGCCAAGTACATATAAAAATTGAAAACCCAAAGAAATAAGGTTCTTTCTCTCCGAGAATCGCACACAAAGATCTCCTTTTATATTTTTAAGCGTGATTAGCAATATTAGATGTATGATGGAAAGGAAATTTCATGGATGAGGTAGCAAATAAGATGATAAAATACAAAATATATATATATATATATATACAAGATTCCAAAAATCTAAGCAAAAAAGGACTTTTTTCAATGGGTATGGTTGAGATTCATTGAAAACATATAGATGATTCAATATACAAAATTTGAGGAAGATTGGAGGTGATTTGAATTGATTTGTTATCAAAATACATAGTTAAAATCGAGTTCAAAAATTTCTTCTGCGATACATGTATCATATGTATCTCACACGCAGGTATACATGGATATACATGTGATACACATTTGATACAAATATGATACATATGTAATACTCAGTGTGACACACCTATCATTTTTTTCATGTTCATCTTCTATTTCGAATTTTCAATTCAAACCACCTCAAACCTCTACCAAATCATCCCAAAACTGATATTCAAGCTCCTTAATGTGTACCCAATCTATTCTAATAACACCCCCTCAAAAAAATTGACCTTTTTGGCTACAAATAGCTAATTGGCTAATATTAGTAATATTTTATGAATTGATCAATTTTTGTAATAAGCTACTTATAAACGAACATAGCTAGTATTTTCCCTATTAAAAATCACAGAGGAAGTTCTTTACATTAAGATAAGAGTTTTCTTTGTCCCATATAGTGTTTTAAAAGGTAGGGCATAAGATGGAGCATTTTACTTATCGTGGAGCAAGGCATAAGCCCAAGACATGGGACGTAAGAATCAGAGTCATCTTGTGGAATGTTCAAAAAGCTCACGATATTGCTTACAGCCTGATTTCCGATGGACTGTACTTGAGAAACACCATCACCTCTCCGAGAAATAAGGTTCTTTCTCTCCGAGAATCGCACACAAAGATCTCCTCTTATATTTTTAAGCGTGATTAACAATATTAGATGTATGATGAAAAGGAAATTTCATGAATGAGGTAGCAAATAAGGTGATAAAATACAAAAATATATATATACAAGATTCCAAAAATCTAAGCAAAAAAGGACTTTTTTCAATGGGTATGGTTGAGATTCATTGAAAACATTTAGATGATTCAATGTACAAAATTTGAGGAAGATTGGAGGTGATTTGGATTGATTTGGTATCAAAATGCGTAGTTAAAATCTAGTTCAAAAATTTCTTCTGCGACACATGTATCATATGTATCACGCATGTATCTCACACGCAGGTATACATGGGTATACATGTGATATACATTTGATACAAATATGATACATATGTAATACACAGTGTGACACACCTATCATTTTTTTCATGTTCATCTTCTATTTCGAATTTTCAATTCAAACCACCTCAAACCTCTACCAAATCATCCCAAAACTGATATTCAAGCTGCTTAATGTGTACCCAATCTATTCTAATAACATCCCCTCAAAAAAAAAATTGATCTTTTTGGCTACAAATAGCTAATTGGCTAATATTAGTAATATTTTATGAATTGATCAATTTTTATAATAAGCTACTTATAAATGAACATAGCTAGTATTTTCCCTATTAAAAACCACAACAGAGGAAGTTCTTTACATTAAGATAAGAGTTTTCTTTGTCCCATATAGTGTTTTAAAAGGTAGGGCATAAGATGGAGCGTTTTACTTAACGTGGAGCGAGGCATAAGCCCAAGACATGGGACGTAAGACCCATAAATCTATAAATTTTCTTAATTTATGAATTAATAAAATAGCATCATAACCATAAAAATATATATAAGGTACATTAAAAGTTTAAGAAAATTAAAAAAATTTTAAAAACTCATAAAAAATAAATATCTAATATCTCTTTTATAAATATAAATAATGCAATAATAGAAAAGTTATTATGAGATAAAAATTAACTAAAACTTTTTATCTATCAAACAATTAGAAAATTATAATTTCTTAAAAAAATTATCGAATTACATTTTATCTCTCTAAAAGTTAATAATTAATAAACTTCATCAGTACTGTAATTTAAAATATTACTCCTTATTATAAAATTACTTTCAAATAGCAAAATAATAAAAACTTAACAATTTTGATAGACATAGTACTAAGATATGAAGACTATAGTAAGTGAAAATATAAATTTTTGGATATCTATTTAGAAGTAATATTCTCAATTAGTAAATATGCACTAATATAACTCATTATTTTGAGTTATTCTCAATCTTCATATTTCTATAGAGAAAATAGAACTTTAATAATTTATTTTCTATAGAATTTTGAGGGCCAATAGTGCTAATTAGGGACTTCGACGTACGATTTGCGTAAGGAATCTTTAGGCAAGCCTCAAGCATTGAGCGTTAGGCATATTTTGGGCGCACAGTCTGACGCTTGGGGCTTAAGCCTCATAGAACTAGGCCCCACACATGGCCTGAAGGCGTTTTGATAGTGCTCCGCCCCTCGAGCGAGTCACAAGAAAGCCTTTTAAAATACGGGTCCCATATTACGTGACATTATTACTTTTTGCAAGTCAAACATTTTTTTAGTGGTGGCAAAATTGATAAAGAAAATAATTATACATCCATATTCCACATTAAAAAATTGGTTGGATAATGAAGTTTTTAAAAATGTGTCAATTATGGATAAGATCCATATTATCATCTTAAAAAATAGATAACTTTTACATTTGCAGAGACTCAAATTGTGAGTTCCTCAAGTTTGAGAGACTAGGAATTCTCCCCAAAGTGATCATATTCAATAAGTCATGGATAATATGAATATTGATATTATCTGTCGTTTAACCCATTTTCTATCCGTATTAAATATGGATTGGATCGAATATCTTATCCATTTTCGACACGCTCATATCCAACCTAACTCGTCCGTTTGCCATCCCTAATTTTTTTTACTACTAATTTCTTAACTATAAAATATTTTACACAATTAACTTTTGTGACGTAAAATATCTTTAATATAATTTCAAATGTGTAAAATCCTACTAAAAAACATATGAGAATTTATGTTCGATTTTATATTGAAATTAGATGTTTTAATTCTCGTATTCTAAACCCCTTTACAGAAAATGAGATGTAGGGAATATGTGATAGTCAAAGCCTCCATAGACTTGACTGTTACAGTTACTAGGTTGCACCTGCATCGAAAACGATGAGAGACAGTACCAGAATTCCAAAGGTACATTTTTCGTACTATTTCTTGTAAAGGGCATAGTATAAATTATGCTTCTCCACATATTTTTCTTGGCAAGTTATTTTTATGCAAACAGGTAGAGCAAGTTTTGATTATTCTGGATATTTGATCAGAACTCTCTTGTTTGTCCCTTATTTGATCTTGAACTTGCACATTTTTCAGCCATGTTTTCTCCGGCAAAATGACTTTTAAATTTCGAGAGAAGGGATACTCTCCTATCTTTCAGTTAACAAGATACAAAGAGAGGTAACATCACTCAAAAAGGAAAAGGACACAAGTTAGATAGATGAGAACCTTTTCTATGCCAAAAAAGTATTAAGTATATATTACACAAAATTGATGTCGTTAGATTTTGCACCCTGACCTATATTTACAAATGTTTCTAACATCTATATATTGTGGAGGTGTCAGCATGAGGAATCAATACATATGATCCTTCCCAACTTCAAGCTAAAAAAAAGACATTGGGAAGTTTGTCATGTTGACTGCGAGGAAAAGAGATGAATTCTATGGTATTGGTTAGTGTCTCTTCTACATATCCATTAGGAAAAATATCAGTTGTCAAACTCTGCAGTTGAGAGCAAACTCTTGTTGGACTAATCAGGCTTAGTATACTCGAGCAACATGTGCGGAGACCTATATATCTTCACCAGTGTCCAGTATAGGACTTCCTCTACTCCAAGTTCACCCTCTGCTCTTGCAGCGTATATATCCTCACAGATGGCAATCAATCTGCACAGAACCAAAATTGCTCATTTTTCCTTTAACTAGAACTCTTACTAGATTTTCTTTACAACAATGTTAACGTAATATTACCTGTCACATGAAGGAAGATTTTCATATGGGATTCTCATTCGCAAGTCGGAGCACTGCAGTCTGATGAAGCGGCCAACTGCTAAAACAAATGTGATATAGAGACCCCATATACTGAATTTGCTGAGAGTTTCACCTAGCAATCCCTCTAAAACACAAACAAATTGTTAGTGAACAACAACAATTCACTTAATTTCTCATTCTATGCGAAAAAATAATCCATTACTTACGCGGTGTTTCCTCTGATACAATTATGGCCATAGGCCCTCTCAACCCTCCACAGCCTTTTACATCCAGTGAGTTGATATCATGGAAGGACCACCACTCAGAGACTCCCCGATTTAAAATGATATCTGCGCTAACATCATTTTCCTATAAAAAAAAAACAGTTATTGACACAAATATCTTTAGGTGGCTAATACTAAATAGAAGTTGAAATGCAAAACATTAATCGGATAGTAGGTTTAACCAACTACTTGCAATATCCATCAAAATTAATATGTTGATATGTTTGGTATAATTCAGCTAACTTCGCATGACAAGAAAAATCAAATAACATAGAATACATATTTAGCTCAAGTGCGTTTAGGCCATCTCACCTCCTGTTCGATAGGCCTAACTTCCCCCGAACCAGTCACACGAAAATATCTTGGATATACATTATACACGCGGAAGCTATTGGTTGAACCATTTAGAACTTTCTTAACTTCCGATGGCTTTGGACAATCCGCAGGAGCAAGACTTCTTTCATATTTCACTACCTCCTTTCCCTTAGGCCTGTCCCTTGTAAGAACCCAAGAAAATTTAACATCCATCTCTTTAAGAGACAGAATGAATCTTCTCTGAACCACATCCGGAACCAGCCACAGAGTACTTGCATCAGGTTGGCAACAAATAAGTTGGATATCATTTACATTGTATGGGTAAAGATAGCCATGCGGATCAAGATTCAAATCATCATTGAGCTGATTAAATGGAATCATTTCACAAAGAGTAGACTGGTAGAGGGTTAACCTTCCTCCACCTTTTCTGCTGATATCAAGCTGAACTCTCGCATCATTTACAGGATTTGCAATGTTAGTTGGATTACCACTGCTGTACATCTGCATCGAAGAACAGCTTTAATATTCCAAATATACAAGATCACCCAACATGGACTTTAAAGAACTGATTAAAAGTTATAGAAAAGTAAAAGTTAGAACATAGTAAAATTTAAGAAAGTTCTGAATGGATTCTCTTCTGAGTATCCTTCTTACACCTTTGTTTCCTTTATTTACATCTCATTAATGCAGGTACATAGAAAGCCAAAACATCACTTATCATTTACAAATATCAGTCTCTAATGATTCTTAATCCACAAACTGGCGGAGAACATCAGAAAGGAACTGTATGTCTAAAACCAACACAGCCTATAAAAAGAGAAAAAGAAAAGATAGAGAACTCTTATTGAAATTGGTTGTTAGCAACACACAAGAGGGCTCCTCCCCTAATGGATGAGTATGAGCATGTTATACATTTCAAGTTAGACCCCCAGGGAAAATATAAAAAGAAATAGCTAAAAAAAAAAAAGAACAGTTAAAAAACAGCTTGCTTCCTTTATGTCATATATGAGATGTCCCGACCTTTTAAAGCAAAAAAGTGATCCACTATCGATTGAAGTCAAACTTATATATCAAGCCAAGAGAGCGAGGCCCAAGCAATTAGGGGAAGGGTGAGTGGGTAAGTGGGGAGTTATATAAAATAAGGAAAGTTTCCTTATCACTGAGATTTCTAAGTATTATAAAATAACTATTAAGAGCACTCCACATAATATTCTTTATTATTCTCTTTCAACTTTCACCAATAAAACAACAATTAAGAACATCATACACACTAATTTTTATGATTCTCTTAATTTTCAACACAACCCCTCAAGCTTATGGTGGTGAAACGAATTTAAGCTTTATTATTTTGCAAAAAACAAATTCTAAAAAGCGAGTGAATTAGTAACAGTAGCCTGAATAGTGTTGCCGGAACAGTGAAAACGCAATTGGAACTATGTCTTCCAGAAATTCATAGGTAATTGTGACAATGAAATTAGTAAAAGCACATGGAAGGAACTATTCTTAATCGCTAGAAAGAGGAAAAGTTATTGAAATCTCAAGGGTATCATTGGAGTAGCTTGACCACAATGGTGAAACAAAAAGTTGCTGGAAAAGTCTTCACAGGAATGACAAAAAGAGACAGTCCCCAGATGGACATTCGAAGGAGACGTAATGACACCAGAATGGCAGAAAAATCACTCAAAAAGAGGTTCAGATAGTAAAAACAGAAAAGAAAGAAACTTTTCGCCAGGTGAGCTGCCACAACAAGCGGAAGCTACATAAGTCTTTTACCAAGATTTTAGAGGCTCTAATACCATGTGAAAAAAGGAGCATGAGAAAGGAAGAGAGAAAACTCCCTTCTTACAGATAATTCAAAAAGAGAGAGGGGGAGAGAGAGAGAACTCCCCCTCAATTATACTTCGATGCTGACCAAGTAATTACTTGGCTAGACAAACACGGCAACACTGTGTATTTACACCCGAATCCAATTCCAAGGTGTCTTTCCAAACACACCCTTATTAAAAATGGTTGTTAACATCCAAAAGGAAAAGTTTGCTAATAATTAATATTGTTAATTATCGTGATAAATCATTATGAATATTCTATAAAATATTATTAGAACTCCTGATTTTCAAGACACAAAAGAAGAGATCCAAGAAAAAGCAAAGTAGCAGGGAAACTTTCCGACGCAGTGAAAAAATCTTTCTTCTCAGTGAGTAGGGTGGATGGGAAGAATATGCAGGAACTTCCCCAGTGTCAGCACGAGGGAGAACAGAACAAAAAGAAATTTATCCTTTTGAGTAAGACAAATTCTACTAGTTCGGTAATATTGAAGGGCTATGTAGATATAGATAATACTTGCTCCTTTTATCTGAAAGAAAATCTTGAGTTGCCAATTGTATAGCACATAGATCTGAGGAACAGTTCACAAACCACTTACCAGCATGGGAGCCCAGATTACACAGATCAATATGAAGAACAAACATATTCCATTACAGAATTTGGTCATCTTAGTCTGCTTGTCTCCTGGTTTATGTGTAGCTCTGTTCAGAACAGCATCACATTTGACAAGGTACAAGCTTGCATTTATGTCTTCCAACTAGAAAAAGTACCAAAACATCAGTCTCATGAAGAAAATCCTCAACAATCGAAGTAGCATCAATAACATGAGACATATGCAGGTAAAAGTAACCAACCCCAGATTAATAATGGAATTCAAGCATACGTGAAAAAATAAATCCTATAAGTATTTCCAAGGGCCCACACAGACATAAAGAACCACCTAAAAAGGGAATAAAACACAAACTGATAGAGAAAGTAAGATAAGAAGTTTGTTGGCCTTGCTTTAGGTCTAAAATAGAGCTCAAGGTTAGTAATGGGGAGAACATATCCTTCTGGAAGGACGTTTAGGTCGGAAATGTGCCTTTGATGTCTATGTTTCCAGATTTATTCTCATGGGCTGTCAATACTACAGCATCTCTGGCAACAAATAGAGTGAATCGTACATGGAATATCAACTTCAGAAGGAATCTCAACGACTGGGAAGTGAACAGGGTTGCAGAAATTTTCAACCACTTGAGCACATTCCAACAATTTACCAACACGACGGACAGAATTAGATGGTTACTTAACAGCAGGGACGTGTTTTCAATAAGTTCATATCACAGAGATCTTACAAGGGAGGAGAACCCACAAGGCCCTTGGCAATGGAAGCAAATTCGATGTTACATAGCTCCTTATAAGGTAGCTTTCTTTACTTGGATAGTGAGTATAGAAGTGTGCGTTATGCACGAGAGTCTACAAAAAGAGGCATATTCATACGTAGCAAATGTGGGAAAGAGTCAGAGAACATACGCCATCTGTTTTTGCATTGTCAAGTTACTATCCAACTGTGGCACTTCTCTTTCAATGCAATTGGGCTAATGGGTTATGCCTAGATCAATAGATGAATACTAAGAAGTTAGTACAGAAAAGGGCTAAGGCAGAACAAGTTCAGGTGGTGGATCACTATTCTAGCGTGTATTTGGTGGACTATATGGACTGAAAGAAATAAACTCCATCTAACAACAACAACAACTATGGCTCAGTCCCAAACAAGTTGGGGTCGGCTATATGAATCCTCACTTCTCCATTTAAGCTCAACTCATGTCATCATCATACCAAATAAAAATAAAAGTGAAAAATAAGTTAAATATATATAAATAATAGTAAGGATAACAATAATAATATTAGAAGTTCTCTAGCAAGACTAAAACCTATTCCCAACCAGTAGATATCACCTATATAAATCTTTTTCTTTCATTGTGCCCTATTTTTAGCTAAGTCTGTATACTTTTGTTTTGTTCATGGTGTAAATTGGAACACGTAAATGATGCTGAATCAGTTCTACAGACCTTAGAAGCCCTTCAGGATTAGATGTGGTATATTTTGCTTCTTATGATTTCTAGAAACATTGTACAGATGTAACAGCACTCCCTTTATGCTAGTTTATTCATGAAATAACTATACCTTCTCAAAAACAAATGTTTGATTCTGTTTGTGTTTTGAAGGAGATTTAAACATTTATGATAAAAAAAGGAAAGGGTCTTCCTCATTTTTTCCCCATGCTCACCTTCTCAATTCTTTTTAAAGATAAAGGTGCTCACCCTTCTAACTCGAAGAACCAACAACAACAAAAAAGAAAAACCAGTGGAATCCTACAAGTGGGGTCTGGGGAGGGTAGTGTGTACGCAGACCTTATCCCTACCATGGGAAAGGAGAGAGGATGTTTCAGATAGACCCTTGGCTCTCTAACTCGAAGAACCAAAACAGGGAAAAAGGACTTCTTTAAAATTTTATTCCTTCTAGGTGCTAAACAAAGCAGAGATGAGTTGGACATCTTTACACCGAGTCAAGATAGACAGTTATGTAATTAGGGTTTGTCGTAAACCAGACTTGCTGAACCAGCTTTTTTTAATCTTCTTTTTATTTATTTTTATTTTTTTTTGGGGGGGGGGGGAGATGATCTCACCTTCAGCCAGTCATACATTGTCAATGAAGTTTTAGTGCAAGACCAGTCCAGTACACACCGCAATTCATACAGGAAAGGAAGAGCACGATATAGCCGGTAGCCTAGATAATTGATTTGAGTAACTTTACTGGTGAGGAATTGGCGATACAATGTGGTCTTGTGTGGAACACCATACCGGNAAAGGGAGAGCACGATATAGCCGGTAGCCTAGATAATTGATTTGAGTAACTTTACTGGTGAGGAATTGGCGATACAATGTGCTCTTGTGTGGAACACCATACTGAATTTGTATGGCTTGCAATGCCAGAGATATTGCTTTAGTTAGATATATTGCACGGAGGGCTAAACCAGCAGCACTTTGCTGTGCATCTATATTCCAAGCATACTCCGTGATGACATATGTAAAAAGAATGAGATTGAAAATGTAAAAGATCACTTTTCCTGTGGCAAATGAACAGAGGTATATGACGCGATCCACCACAATCAAGAAGAATATTGCCTGCAGAAAGGTCATAGAAGAGAATCAGAGACGACCGATTATTATGCTGCAGGTATTATTACTATTTCAGCCAGTCTATAGCAGCTTTCTACACAGTATCCTACTAATCAAAATGGAGTACAAGAATCACTAGCCTATTCCTTCAGAATTGCAGTTCTGCCAATATATGTATATAAAACCTAAACAAATACTGCAAGAAAAATAGAGGACAGCTGATCTACATTCTTTATTAGTTGGTCAGTATTGGAAGCTTTGACCAGTTCAGTCAAACAACTTTTCTCCATGATTAAAGAAAGGCTATTCCCATCTGGTTTTCCCCACAGCAGTGATAATATCTTTAATAATCTTTTTTCTGCAACGCATGAAATAGACAAATGTAAGAATGCTTACCATCAACATAAATACAAACTCCTTGGGAAACTGATCCTCAAGTTGGGAAACATCCAAAAACTCGCTTTTGTTTTTTATAACAGATTGGTAGAAAATAGCAACCAAGAAGAACACACTCAAATCAGCACCAAAAATATAAGCATAAAGATCAACTTCCCTTCTACCCCCACCTATGATGGAGAGTATAGGGTATGGAAATCCAACTTCTTCAACAAGACCCATGCTTTGTGCTCCACGAATCTCTTTTGCTATGTCAGCAGCTGGAGTGAGTGACTTGAACTGTTCAGGTGTACATTCTGTCGATGGGCAGGCATAAACCACCTCGAAAACAGCCAATGCAATGTATGGATTTTCACTACTCTTTTCAATGCTTTGAATTTGGACCCTACTAGAACAAGAACAATGGCTGGGGTTTTGGTTTTTGCATCTATCATCGTGCATAAGCCGTAGCAATTGATTTATTCCAGATTCAATCCTCTCCGGTTGGATTCCATCCTCTGGCCACATGTGAACATCCATGGACAACTGGATAAAGTACGGTGGCGATTCTGCCTCCTGTGTTAGTGATTTCCAATACCTACAACAGCCTCTAATCACCATTTTCACCATATTTTTTATGGGAAGGAAGAGCTTGTTCGCCTTCTCACTCCACCCAGATGCCACGAGGTCCTCCTTTGGGTCCAAGAGTCTCCTTTTCCAATTACTGTATCCTAGAGAAAACCATTCACCATCTTTTGCTGTTATAGAGCTCTGTAAGAGGGTAAACAAGTAGACCAGAAATAACGGCAGCGAGCTTATTACAAAAGCAGATGTTATCCGTTTTGTAGGAAAACCCAACTCTTGAAGAGTAGTTGACTGGATGCTGAAACCACAGTGCTGAATAACTATTTGATAAAGATACTGGACTAAAATGTATATCTCTGTGTAGATTAGCATGACGACCCAAAAGATGTAACTTGGCCCAGTATTCACACAAAGAGCATATAAAAAGAGAGCTGCCAGGTACACCATAGAAAGCAAACTGAAATTCCAAAGGAAGACAAGAAGAAAGCAACAATAGCACACAACATCATTATTTGAACGCATCTGGGACCATATGTGATTGAAGATTCTCCCAATTTGCAAACTTGCTGTTTCAGACGTTCTACTCCTATCAGATTGCAGAGAAGAAGAACGATCCAGATGAATGTGTGTAGCATTTTCACCCTCTCTCTCATAAGATATTCCGTCCCCAGCAGTTGAGGTCCCATTAGAATCAGAGTCATCTTGTGGAATGTTCAAAAAGCTCACGATATTGCTTACAGCCTGATTTCCGATGGACTGTACTTGAGAAACACCATCACCAATCAACTGTACTGCAGAAACTAATGGGTTATCCTTGGATTGGCCTTTTCTTTTGTTTTCTTTATCCAGGTTCAAAGTATTATGACCTGCATCTTCTTCAATTTCACTTATCTCACATATAGAAGTTACCATAGGATGATTCATTAGTTCTGTCGCCAAAGGGCTTTCTGCCCTGGCACTACTTGGAGATTCAGGGAAATCATGAGAAAACACAGGGTCTGAATTAACATTTATCTCCAGTTTATCTGGGTGTCTTTCCTCTAAGTTCGGATGTGAAAGATTCTTCCTCCTCCTTAAACCCTCACTAGCAGGAGAAGTGTCACCACGAGTGGCAGCAGAATTTGCTTCAGTACTATGAAGCTGTATTTGTAGGTTGAGCATCTCTGATTTCATCTTCTCCACTTGCAAATTTCGCTGGCGTTTCTTCTCCTCAGATTCACGAATGTGCTGTAACTGTGCAGTCTTCCAGGCAGCTTTCTTCTCTTGCTCGCGTACAACAGCACCAATTTGTTCCGCCTCAAGATAACGGAACACATAATCAAATTCTGGGGAAGAGAACATGTATGATTGCAGTGCGACAAGCACAAAAATAATGATCTCGACCAAAGCTGATCTCGAGGTAATTCGAAAGCCATAATCATATTTGTAGAATCCAATCATCTCATAAATGTAATCTATTGTTTCACATTTTCCCGCATTGAAATCACCAATAAATGGAGACTGATAGGCCAGAGAGAGAACTATAACAGCAAAATTGTATATGCGAAGATACTTGAATATCTTATTTTTCTTTTTCAAAATCGTAAGTCTCATTCGGAAGAAGATCAGAGCAAAGCCAAGATATCCAAGATGCAGAATATCATACTCGAGGGTACCTGTTATCAGAATCAAAGCAAGTACAAGATCCAAAAGATGACAATAGCAGTAGAGCCTCAAGTAGTCAAGAAAGGTCCACATGCTTTTGGTTTCAAATGATAGATCTCGCCACACAAAAGAATTCTTGCGCTGTGAGACCATCTGACGGTACGTAAATGACCCTGATAAACTGGATGTGCGATCAGCATGGAGCTTGAAACATGCAAGCATGAAGACCACATAATAACTGATCAGCATTCGAGGGTCATCAACAGTAAGCCCTGTCACAAGGAAAAGTCAAAAGCAGCTCAGCAAGTACGACAAAAAGGTTTTCAGCAAAACATCCACAACTACTAGCTACAGGTGTTAGATCTGAAAGTAGATAGTTAAAACAATACGCAAAAAAGAGAGGATATTTTATTCCAGTAAACATGTCAATAATTTGTTCAACTGTTTGTTCATCTCAACTATTGTTCTCCAAGTTAGTGAAATTCAAATCCAAAATGGATAGGTTCTGGAAATTTTTTCTCGATAAAGTAAATAATTTTATTAATAATGGGAAACTCTCCCGTATACAAATAGAACACCAAAAAGGAGAGAATCTCCTACATAATGTGTTTTTCTTAGTTTTTTTGGTACACCAATGAGGTTCCAATATGTATAGAAGATTATTGGGTGTCTTTTATAGGGAATCGTATTTGTTTGTAGGTTCTCTACTTTTTGGTACTTGTATGCAGGTTTGTTCCCATATATCAATAACTTTATTGCTACCTTATCATTAAAAAACAAAAAAAAAACAGGAACATTTTAGAACATAGGGATAATGCATGGAGGTAAAAGAAAAATCAGATGTGGCTGAAAAATACAATGCCAAATACTACTGAAAGAATCATACCAAGCCAACACTTTTTACAATAATCAAAATATGCATCCGAGCTGCTCCAGCAATCATGACAATGCACGGACTGATTTGGTAGGTGCTTATTTAAAGGCATCAAGCTCTTCCACATGGCAAAGTACTCCAGCAGAAGAATCAAAGTAAACAAAAATACAAAAATCGGCCAAACTTTACGAATGATTCGCCGTCTCAGAAGAACACAAGCAGCTAGCAAAGCAATGTAGAGCAAGGAGACAGCATTAAGTAAAGCAAAGCTGGCGAAAACCAGTCCAAGCATATTGATCTCAAGCCCAAAGAGGTTGAACATATTCTCCACCCAGAACTTCAAATAAATTTTCAAGGTAGCCTTCTGCATTTCAAGTCTTTCTTTTCTCAGTGCAAGAACAAGCTTCTTATTCCATTTATGACTCTCCTTTCTGCTTCCCCAGATAGAACCAAAAGAATATTTTCTTCTACTGCTATCAACAGAAACTCCTGTGGTAGAGGACACGTCATGAGAAGATTGATTGATATTCTGGCCGAAGTATGGCCATGACTTGCTTGTTGCCCGCATCCCTTGTGTAGACAATCCACTGGAGTTTGCAGCTGGCTTGCTTTCTCCATCGGAAACTAAAGGCAATATATCTTCTTCTGAGACAAACAGTGGACAAGGTTCCCCAGAT